GGTAGCTGCGTGCACTGTACATGCCTTAGATTGAAGCATAAAACAATTTCCATGCCCAGGGAGCTAATACGCTACCCATGTAAATCCCGTACACACTTATGGCACAAAATTTCCTTTTAGCTTCCTATGTATCTTCAGCATGTTTACTACAGATAAATTCTATAGGACTGTCTAATCTTATGGAAAAACTCCAGTGTCCAGATCTATCAAACAGTATATCAATAAATATTTATTTTAAAAAAGAACAATTTTAATTTGTTATATTTACAGGCCAATACAGAATTCTACAGGAAGTTTTTGGTAGAAAGACCAACCAGGACATTTTCTTCCCATGGGGTTCTGAGGGGCATGAGACTGCACTGCTGGTTTAAGGAATGGTTCCTCATAACTTGTTGGGTTTTCTGAGTGGTTTAAAAGGTAACAGGTATTGGCCAATGAATTACCAGAAACTTATCATTATATATTTTATTTTGGAATATCCCTCTCCATAGCAATTTGGATACCACTGAGGCAAATTTAAAATTATATAAGGCACAACTATCATAAATGCAAAGGCAAAGCTAATAAAAAACAGAGGAAAATACCCAAAACAAAACACCACAAGATCATAAAATAAAATAAAGGTTTGTGTGCTTAGGTGGAGGAGTGAAAAACCCTGCACAGGGGGCAGCATTAAGTTAAAAAAACACCTCTGTATTTCCTTAGATTTCTGAAAATGGAAAAAGATGTTCTGAGGCAGCTGCTCATGGGAGATCCAAACCCCTTAGAGTTATGTTATTACTCTTTAGCATACTGTGTTGTTGTATTGGGCAATGGTTCAATAGCATAATATCACCTTGAAAGTCACCCTAATGTAACTTTAACTGGATGTTGGAAGGTAACTGTGAATGGTTATTGATTTATTTACTCTGCTCAGAACCATTTCAGAGAAAGGATGTACCACTGATGTCATCTTGAGATACCAGACATTTCTGTGGGTTTCCTTTCTAGCTTACCTCCCTACCTTTCCCCACCATCCTGTGTGAACTCAAGCCTATGGCAAGGACTGACTTGAATGAAATTTTAATACTTGATGTACAAGGCATTCAAAAATCATCAGGTCCCCCAGAATCATGGGGTTTTATTGAATGTTGTAATTTTTAAGACAATTACATTTTGGGTTCCTTTTGTTTACCTTCTGTTATTTGAATCTCTAGGGTACACGCAGGAAACATTTTGAATTTTTTTTTTTTTGGCAACCATGATGGCTACAAACTTATTTTAAAAAATGAAAGCTGAGATTCTTGTTTATTTGTACGACTCCTGGAGCTGCAGCTTCAGGAAAAACATCAAATATCACAAGACTCGCAATAAAAATCTGATGCAGTTAGAAGAGGAAATAATTTCCTCACACTATAGAATTAGCTACAGTGTTATTTCTGTTTCTTTTCATACTGATTTCACAAATCGTAAAACCCATCACTTTAGTACTGGGAGTTGAGCACACATGCTAATATAAAGCTTTGGGATACAAAGTTGGGATACAAACAACATAAGACACCTCCAAACTTTCCTTCAGAATGTTCACTCAGCTTTAAAACTATTTCCAGGAATTAGAAATAAAAACCTCAGTTCACAGAACCAAATCCAGTGATCTAGTGTTGCAGGGAAACAGCTCAATAGGGCTGCAGTGGTAAAACCATCCTAAGCTTCTCAAGCCACAATGAAGGACTGCAGTTCTTTTATTGAACCAAAAGCATTTAAGTAAAAAATACACCTATGCAAAAAGCTGTTGATGCAGCCATTTATACTGAATAGTATAGGCCAGGGGTCTCAAACATGCGGCCTGCAGGGCAATTGCGTGTGGCCCGCCAAGCTCCCCGTGCCCCGCCCCGCCCACCTACTAGCGGGATTGCATCCTATGGCGTTGCGAGCCCCGCGCCGCTCTCTGAAGCAGCTGGCAGCACGTCCCTTTGGGCCAGAGGGGGAGGAGGAAGGAGGCAGAGGGCTCCTGCATTGCCTCCTTCCAGGCCCCGCCCCCCGCAGCTCCCATTGGCCGGGAACAGGGAACCGTGGCCAATGGGAGCTTCATGGGAGGTACCTAGAGGAGCGGCAAGAGCAGCACATGCACGGAATCCTGAGCCCGTCCCGCTCCCCCAAGGGCTGCATGGACACGGTTCCATCTGCTTTCTGGAACGGAACGGAGCGGCCCCAGTGTGCGCCACTACCACCCCGGAACCGCTGTAGGTAAGCGGTGCCGGGCTGGAGCTCGCACCCTGAACCCCTCCTGCACCCCAACTCCCTGCCCTGAGCCCCCTGCCACATCCCACACCCCTCCTTCACCCCAACCCCCTGCCCTTAGCCCCCTGCCACATCTTGCACCCTTCCTGCACTCCCTACCCTGAGCCACCTGCTGCACCCTGACCTCCTGCCGCAACCCTCACGCTCTTGCACTTCACACACCAACTCCCTGCCCTGAGCCCCCTGCTGCACCCTGCACACCTCCTACACTTCAACTCCCTGCCCTGAGCCCCCTGCTGCATCCCGTACACCCCTCCTGCACTCCCTGCCCTGAGCCACCTGCTGCACCCTGCACCCTGACCTCCTGCTGCACCCCTCACGCTCTTGCACCCCACACACCAACTCCCTGCCCTGATCCTCCTGCTGCACCCTGCACACCTCCTGCACCTCAACTCCCTGCCCTGAGTCCCCGCCGCACCCTACACCCTTTCTGCACCCTCTGGGGGCAGCGTTAGGGTGGGGACTTCGGGGAATGGGTTGGAATGGGGTAGGGAAGGGGTGGGAAGAGGTGGGGCCTAATGGAAGGGGTGGAGTGGGGGCGGGGCCAGAGGCAGCAACAGGAGATGTTAGCGATGCGGCCCTCGGGTCAATGCACTAGTCCTCATGTGGCCCTTGTGGTCATTTGAGTTTGAGACCCTGGTGTGGGCGAAGAGCTGATGGGCTCTGGTGGCCAAAGGTGGGGATAATATGTAGATCAGAAATGACCACTCTGCACAAGAGCAATCAATGACATCTCAAAATTACATATTCAGGATGTGACAGCAACCATTTCAAATGCAAAACAATGCATTAGAACCCAGATAGCATCTTCCTTTTTCTACACAGTTTTCTAAAAGATTCTGCCTGAAATACTGTGGCTTCTCTTTCCCTCCCTAAGATAACTAAGTTTCAATAGCCCAAGAAGTCTGAATATAAAGAAAAATAAACTCCCAAGAGGCAAGTCCAATTACAGGCGCTGGGTTTTTCTTCTGATTTTAAGGAATAAAAAACCCAACATCAACCTGGAAATAGAGATTTAGCTACATTGTATGTTTGATTGTTGATGTATAACCAAATAAAATTCAATTAGGGAAAGATTTCTTCCCTTCTTGGGTTTGTTCTATGGCATGAAAAAATAAATTGATTATTGGTTCAGAACTCCCCCACGCCTTTCTGCAAATGTTTAAGGCCCACTGGGAGCAGGTCTAATCTGGTTTTGTTGTGCAAGTTAAGTGGAGCCAGAACATGGGAAAGTCTTGCTTGGGTGTTAAGAGTGGTCTGGCGGAGGTGGGGCTGCTCCTTCCCCAGGGAGGTGGCTGGCTAAGACCACAGATAGGCTGCTGGCTCAGTGCAGACAGTTCCAGTTCCACATTGCAGACTGAAGGAAGGATTCCTTTCCCTTACAGTAGGGAGTTTCTCCGATTGCACTTTTATGAGATGATTTTATGATTCCGCAAAGAATCAGTAATCTCTGACGGGTCAAAAAGGGCCACATTAAGTCCATTACAGCAGAAGTTCGCAACCTGGGAGACATGACCCTCAAGGGGGTTACCAGAGTGTATAAGGGGGGTCACAACCAGCTTGCCAGATGGGGAAAGATTGAGAACCACTGCATTACAGAGATGCTTGGCAGCACCAGTGTGAGGCCTCCTTTCTGCAGGGGCAGAATAAAGCTGTTGTGGGAATGAGAATGAGTTACAATTAAATGCACGGCCGACTCCAGGCACCAGTATTCCAAGCAGGTGCTTGGGGCGGTAATTTGCAAGGGGTGGCAGTCCGTGTGTTTTTGCTCCAAAGCAGAGCGCTGAATTGCCACCGTGGACGGCGGGGGCAGTCCGTGCTCCTTTAGGGCGGCAGGCGCATTTCCGCGGTGGTGGCAATTCGGCGACAGCTTCTATGTTCAGCTGCCCGCGGCGACAATTCGGCACGCTGCTTGGGGCGGCAAAAACAGTAGAGCCGGCCCTGATTAAATGAAGTCATTATCATATCACTTGATAGCTTTTCTAACCATGTTGCAAGAATGATTTTAAACTGTGAAAAATACAAACGTGGATTTATTTTTTTGTTCATCTTCATACATCTTCTTGCATTTATTTCCTGAAATGCTATAAGTGCACATAGAAGGCAGGAACCATCTAAAGTCAGTGAGGTGCGACTGCATTCAGTCCTTCTGCTGGTATGTATCTTGCACATACTGTATGTTTTTGAAAATATTGGGTGAATTTAGTATACATATTAATAAGATAATAAACACTAGCTAGAGCCAGACATAGTGCAAACCGGCGCTGTGCAAACTTCCAACACACAGCCCTGCCAATGCATCTCAAGGCTAAGCTACAGTGCCTCTCAACTGCCCACCTCCCTCCCCTACTTTTCTAGGTCAGGATTCCTTCCAGTTGAAGCCCACCAAGCAGGTAAGATATAGAGAATGACAAAAAATCAAACTCAACCAACCAACCAACCCCAAACCAACCCCAACCCCACACTAAGGCTCCAATTCTGTACTGAGAACTGCAAAAGTGTCACCCAGCAATCATTTGGAACCACAATGAAATCAATGGGGATCTGCTCGCATGGTTTTCATTGCAGGATCGGGGCTTCATTTTCACCTACCATCATATAAATTAAAGACTCTGGGCTTTTATCACAATATAAAAATACTATAAATGCAAAGGCAACGTGGCCCAATTGTTACGAGAGTGAGGCTGGAACCAAACAAAATGGAAAACCCAGTTACTTACCTAACAGTAGCAGTAGTTCTTCAAGATGTGTTGTCCACAGGTTCCACTCTTGGTGCACATGCGCCCTATGCACTTGTTGGAGATTTTTGACCAGCAGTGTCCATTGGGGCCACACCTGTGTCAACACAGAATCCAGGTGATACAGAGCTCTGTAGTAGCATGGAAGGAGCAAGTTGTGGTGTACCAGACCCTACAAAAATACAACTGGTTCGCAACTGGAGGGGCTATAAGTGGGAGGGCCAACAGAGACTGAATCCCATTTCAAACTCAGGAGTCAACGTTGGTGCCTTGCACATGATAAGGGCTGGTTAGAGGATATGGTAGTAGAGGCAGATGGTTTGAAATGTTGGGTGTTTTCTGGGTAGTTCAGGCTGTCTATCCTGTGTGGAATATGGCTGCCTCTGATGTAGTGGAGGCCTAAAATGGTTTCTTTCTGGTGCAGGAGTGCAGAGTCCTAGAAACCTCTGAGGCACTTAAGACTCCTTTAGGGAATGTAAACGCACACACAATGGAGAGAAATACATTTCCATAAGGAAACATTTCAGTTTCAAAGGGTTATATTAAAGCTATGTAAAATATACATAAGAAAACCATATAAAACTCAGCTGATTTAGGGTTTCATTACAAACTTGAAACACAGACTAACTAGGCTAACAAAAAAATCTCCTCATTATCACAAGCTCTACCAGCAAATCTGGATTAATTTTTGTGTTTTGTGTCAAAACGAAGCAGAATTAAATTTCAAGCAGTTTCAGTGTGAAACCAGAATTTGCTTTGAGATTCAGCTGAACGTGACACTCAAAACTCAAGGGACATAGGAATGATGAACCAATATTGATCAGAAGAGAAGGCAATATTTTCCTGAACCTTTGCAAAATGAAGCCTTTACATTTTCCACAATGCTAGTCATTACAGTGAGTGAAAAGAATCTCTCTCCAAATGTGCGCAAAGTGTTATGTTTTTAAACCTCGCTTCTCAGAATCTCTCTCTTTAGGTTTTCTTACTCTGAGATACTTGGTTTCTTCCCAGGCCTCTTGCTTCAGCCAAAGTGTGGTTGTGATATGCATGGGGAATAGAGATACAGGCCCTGCCATGTCTTGCTGCATTAACAGATATCCTAGGGATTTGAACATATCATTGCCAAGCAACACAATAATGTCACCATTACACTGAATTCAGGGATATGCATTCCCCTCTACTTCGCTGCTTAAAGGAACAGTCCAGATTGCAATTTCTCCTCCTTCTCTCTAGTACTGCTTTTGTTTTCAAGCTTTACTTCAATATGATCCTTGCTATAGAAATAGCAAAGAAAAAAAAATCAAATGACCAAACAGTTTGAGTGTGAAATATGAAGAATATAAAGAATGCCTTGAGACATTTCTCTTCAATAAAGGAGTAGAAGTTGGAAAAGTGAAAGTTTTTACCCTTTTCAGTTGATTAACTTAGTGCAATCACCCACTGTATTTGGACTCAGCACAACATTACCTGGCTTCTGAGCTTTAGCATAGTTTGGTTTGTATTTCCACAGCAGGTTCTGGTGCCAGAACCATATCCCCACAGAGTTCTGCTCCTGCTGCTTCCTCCATAAAAATGGCATCAGATGACATCTGGCTACACCCAAAGTGCCTTTTTCTGCCATGACGTTCAGCAGTTGAATAATTTGCTGGACACATCGTGTTTATTCAACATGCGCCTTTGCTAGGAGAAGAGATTTTCTTCTTGCTGCTTTGTATTTATTTCAGGGAACAGAAATCTGCCTATGCCTGTTCTGTTTTCCTGCTGTTAACAGGCTGCTCAAAAATTCAGTTCTCTCTCCCTAAAGGAAATTCAGCTGGACTGCTACTTGCACAAGCCATTTAATGGTGTGCAGCAATGTAGCTTAAGTGTCCCAGAATTCCAGGGGCCTCTTTGGTGCTGACTCTTTTGTATTCCAATGGCCAGCAGAGCTCCTTAACTCTCCGGCAGCCAAAGCTCATTATCATTTTTATATAATTAAACAGCACTGTTCATTCTCCTCATTAGATTATCACAGCAAATTGATGGTTATTTGAAAGAACAGCCACAATAGGAGACAAATCACTGGCAACAGATAAAACAAAAGGATGCACACAAAGCTCTTTAATTAAACTCCATGAAGGGATATGAAAGCTAGTAGAGATTTTAGTTACCCCGCTGAGCCTCTGTCTGATTAGCTACAATGCATCTGTTTGGTTTCCTAGTCTCCATCTGTACTGCTAAAGAGAAATTTATTCTGGCTATATTGGTTCAGAACAAGATGACCCCAAGATGTCAGTTGCCGATAGTCTAATGGTTACATATGTTGACAGAGTGTTTCTAAGTAATCCTTGCTGTGTTGACATGAAGAATCATCCTCTTTACATATACACTGCATTAAACACATACATATATGTACAAGTAACAATGGGAAGCTGTCTTAAACCCACAAGTAACCAGGACATTTAGAGAGAAAGGATTCTCTCTCCATTCTTAAGACTCTTTGTAACTGATCACTTCTGGCACACATTGCTCCCTGCAGTATCTAGGCACACAACCTGAGATCTGCAGGATGGACAAACGAAAAGCCTACACTACTGATTGTAAGGTAATTTCGTTGGAAGTCAGGCTGTTATTGAAGTTCGATTTCCTTTTTAAAAAAAAAACCCAACAATCAAAAACAAATGTGTCATGGAGCTTTTGTATGACAAAGGTCACAAGGGATCTCTCAAAATCATATTGGTCTTTAATCCACACGTAATTGACAGTGTATCTCTCAGAGACCCACTGTGTTGTATAGCATCAGTGCTTATTACTATACCTCTACCTCGATAGAACACTATCCTCGGGAGCCAAAAAAATCTTATCACGTTATACGTGAAACCACGTTATATTGGACTTGCTTTGATCCACCAGAGTGCGCAGCCCCCCCCCAGAGCACTGCTTTACCGAGTTATATCCAAATTCGTGTTATATCGGGTCGCGTTATATCGGGGTAGAGGTGTATTTGGAACCCTTAACAAGTAGATTATTAGCAGTGTGCACCCTGTTGCCTCCTCAGCCCACTAAGACAATAAGAAATGTGTGAGTTTGCCACAATCCATGAACCACTGACATATTAAGAGCTATTATGCCCTAATGTCCAATTAAAATCTATGCATTAAAATGTGGCAGCCTGTATAAAGCACGTATTATAGTGCAAATGCAGAATCATCAAAATGCTTTGCAAAAAAAAAAAGAACAAAAACAGATCATAGAACCATAGAAGATTAGGACTGGAAGAGACCTCAGGAGATCATCTAGTCCAACCCACTGCTCAAAGCAGGACCAACCCCAACTAAATCATCCCAGCCAGGGCTTTGTCAAGCTGGGCCTTAAAAACCTCTAAGGATGGAGATGCCACCACCTCCCTAGGTAACCCATTCCAGTGCTTCACCACCCTCCTAGTGAAATAGTGTTTCCTAATATCCAACATAGACCTCCCCCACTGCAATTTGAGACCATTGCATCCTGTTCTGTCATCTGCCACCACTGAGAACAGCCAAGCTCCATTCTCTTTGGAACCCCCCTTCAGGTAGTTGAAGGCTGCTATCAAATCCCCACTCACTCTTGTCTTCTGATGTTGTACGTGCTAGTTAGCATATATGTATAGAGTTTCTTTTTCTCACCTTCTCAGGACCTTGGGTGGGTGAAAGTGAAGTCTTCCTCATCTCTTATGGGGCCCTGAAAATACTCCAATTTCTGTCTACTTCATACCACCAAATTCTCTGACTTTGCTGCCAAAATCCTACTGCCTGGGAAGGATCCATCACCATGTTTATCTCCTTGTACCTCGTGTTGTCATTGACAGCTGGGCAAAGTGGGTGTAAATTGCTACTCATCTTTTGGTAGTGTTTTACATTCACTTTGTGCAGGTGTAAATGACCACAGAAAGTACAAGACAGTGAAAAATCAGGCCCATTGTCTCTGCAGTACTCCCTAGCCCTCTGTTGTCCCATTCAGCACTCTAAAGGCCAAGACCAGATGTTTTTTAAATTTTGATTTAAGTAATAATTTAAAAGACATCTATTCAAAGCTCTAGGTGCCCTAACACAGCATTAAAATATAATTAAAATTCAGTAGAATTAAATAATCAATTCAAGAGGAACTCAGCCAGCCAGCCACCTACGAAGTCTCCTTCCTCTCCTTTCATTTTCTAGGAAGCATATCCTGAGCCTTCTCCAAAACCTGGTTGAAGAAGGGTCTCCAGCAGGGCACCGAACAGCACTATCAGCGGACTCAGATGGGGCTGACGCTATTAATTTAGAGGAATATAACCAATAACTTAATTTGCCAATGACCTTAGCAATTTTATTACAAATCCTTAGGTGTTTCTGCATTTGACTGAGTCTGGCTACAAAGGAAACTATTTAGAGATGACAGTCTTACATACTGGTAAAGTTACTGAGGTCTAATGATCCAGGACTAGCCACAAATTACAGGAATGTAATCTAGTTATTACTAACAACGAGGGGGGAAAAGCCTCTCCCCAAACATAAAAAAAATACATAGATGTGATGTTTTTAAACCTAGTTTCTATCTCAATCTCTCTAAGTTTTGTGATGTTTCTTTGGGGCACTTGGCTTCTTTCTCCTACCTCTTGCTCCAGTTAAGTTGTAGTGTCTGGAGAACAGTGAGTAGGCCCGGACATGTCTCACTGTATGACTGTAATTACTAGGGAGTTCATTATTATTACAATTAATAATTTGCATTAATTGATGCGCAATCATTGGGTATTGCCCAGTGGCTCCCATCAGGGATCAGGATGGCATCATGCTAGACATTGTACAGACAGAAAAAGTGAGAGTTCCTGCCCCAGGAAGCTTATTTCTACCATCATTGAAAGGAAGGGAATAAGCTCAGCGTTATCTCTCCAGTCCATGAGACCATTTTATAATGGTGTGAACAACGGCACAATTTGCCCACATCTTATTTTCTGTTTAAGCTTTCAAATCAAGCCATGCTGCTGAAACGGATAATGAGGTAGGTGAAGAAATTATAGAACTGGGTCAGACGGGAGGCCTTCATCTCAAAAAAATCTCTTATCTCTGTTGTGTATTATGCAATCTCTAAGAGTTGTAA